AGGAAGAGAAACAACACATTGATCTGTAACTGTGCCAGACAGAAAGTGAGGAGATACGAATAGTGAGTAGGATAGGAATTAACAATTTTTTGACAAACTAAGGTATATCATCATTAATTTAAATATCTAATCAGAAGCCATGAAGTGCCCGTTTATTTGTGTCATACGTGAGACGTGAAAATAGGCTAAAGACCCATACCGATTCTATAATGCAGTGGCTGCCGAAAATCTATGATGGTTACTGGTGCTAAAATCCTCTTAAAAATCCCCTTTTAATTTGAAAAATAAATCCATATAACGATGAACACTCGTTTTTATGTGTTTTAGTGTGCATTTAGTTCCTGAAAATACGTATTTTGAAATTGATCGTTGTCTGTATAATAAGCATCATTATAATGAACCTGAGTTAATATGTGGAGGATGTTTTAATCTTAAAAATATCATAACGTAAAATATTGTATACTTATATCATAAAAACATTGAATTTATCTTAAATGAATTAAACTGTCTGAGAAGCTCGTCAAAGTACGCCACAAATTCTGGCGTGAAATAGGTGCCGACGATGCCGCAATCAGCTGATTATTGTTTGTGTTTTGAGATGTGCACAGCTGCTCACGGCTGAAATCATTCTACGGCACATCCAAAACTGGCGGTTACCAAAACCGTAAAGAGCGTGCCGTGTTTTCGATTTCACAGAGCTTTATAAGATTGCGTACTATATATCCAGCCTTAGAGTGCTGCCATATCCATTTCACGGCGTTTATAAGATTGGGCCAATGAGTCAGATCACGTCCCAGTCTTTTGGTTTGGAGGGAAAGAGGAATTTATACCTGCCGACAAATATGCGCTAATCAGTGATAACAAGACCCGGCGCCATCCGAAATATTTCGTGTAAAAACTTCATGGTGTGAGAGACCCAGCCCACACTGCCATTAGAGACATGATCAGGAACCACCCGAATCTCGCCTGCAAGTCACTGCAGTGACCGGAGGCACCACAAACATGTAGGGTTGGCGAGGAAGCCATGCTTGGGCACCACCAGACCTCACAGCAGCGCGCACTGTAGGCCGGCAGCCCGAAAAAGCGCTAGAAATTCCCCCAAACTGACTGTCCGCAATATGAACAAAATAGATATCATTTAATCCCAAATTGATCGAAGAATACGATTCCGATGCCATTTTTGCCCTAAGGTCGAAATTGAGGTGGTCAGTTGTCACCAAACACAAGACTATTTAGACTCGCTAGTGGCCACCACATTTGCCGATTTTAATGCTAATCTTTAGTTGATATTTATTAGTTGACCAGTTGTCGTTTTGAACGCAATTTTCTGTCAGACTAGTTCAGGGCACTGTTGTTCACTGTACCAACAACATTCTTACATATTGCATCGCTTTTCTGCAAGATGAGCTAGCTTTTTGCAAGCAGCTGCAAGACCTAAATAAAAATCATATCTAAATTTTTAAATAGACTTTTAAAAAAACGTTATTTCGAGCGGCTAAAAATAAACATCTTATACTAGCCGTTGATTACTCATCTTTCGTTCCATATAGGTACTTTGCTGCTTTTCCCTGCTACTTTTCGAGATATGCGCCAGTAAACCACATGATGTAGGGGCAATTGTCACCTCGCCGCTCTACTGAATGCCCGGCGCTCTTTATGTATAGCGCTGGAAGTTGTGAAAAACTAAGGCTTATAATCTGAATAAAATATATGTCCCTGAGCTCAGAATTGATCAACGCACACAATGCTGTCAAAATTTTTGGGCCAAACTAAAAAATTCAATCATTATTAACCCCCAAACACAAGTAAGTGATAATCAACAACAACTTGCTCTTAAGTTAGACTTTTTGAGAAATGTTATTTCGAGCCGCTAAAAATGACCGTGCCATACAAACCACTAATCATCTTTCTGTCATGCCCTACTCGCAATTTTTGCTAATGCCTGCTACTCTTCGGGGTCACGTGACATCACCATTAAAAGTAAATGGGGAGATAAGGAAACTGTTGTTTTTGCGCATGGAATGATCTCAAACTATCTCAAGCACACGGAATCGTGATTTCATGCACTCCTTGCAAGATCCGATGCTTTACTTTTGCATTTTTGACCCTCCCTGACGTCATTTATGACGTCACTACGGTTATAGGAGTTTCTTGTCAATAACTCATGATCAAATTGAGCCAGCGACTCGGGAAAGCCACCAATGGACTCGGGAAGACCTCCCGAATCGAATGATATGCGACATGACCTCTTTCGACCAACTTCGTGACCTGGGGGTGCTGACCTGACCTTGACCTGAGGTCAACACCTTAAGTTGACCTCACCCGAACAAAAAGTATACCATTCGACGCGCCTGAGCCAGGCAAACACGATGGTGCCAAAATCGCTGCTCTGCGACCATTTTATGCGAAATTATTTACCAAAAACCAAACCCTACTTTGGGCTTTTTGACCTCACCTCAGAGGTTACCGGTTGACATGGGACCTTAAAATCGGGTATCAATCGTTCCGTCTTGAAACGGCGCACACGCTTGTTTTTTCCGCGAGGCTCTAGCTCCATTAGGGGCGAAACGGCGAAAAGGGGTCGTACCAACCCTCCCCCCTCGGCCGGCCGAGGGGGTGGGGGGTCCGACAACAGGTCCGGTGAGGGTTAAGCAGCCTCACTTCGTTTTTAGCATGTTTGCTTGTCGCTGAGATCAACAACTCAATCACAAATAATTTCTAGCACTTTTCCGGGCCCCCGGCCCAGTGTGGCGCGCAGTGCACACATCGGTGACTGAGGGGGCAAGTGCAGTCCACCTTTAGAGCCGCACAGACACAGGGATGACTGAGCGAGCAGACTCAGTCGCCGGCAGTCCTACCAGGCAGCGCGCCGTGGCGAACCCCATACGGTGACATCATCGCCTATCCCGGCGGCGCGTCGTTAGCGTTAAATTATGGCCCGCTCGGCGGCGCGCCGTCTCCGAGAGCCCAATCCGCCGACACCACGCCGGGTCACGTCGGCCAGGTCACGTGACCCGGGGCCGTTCCCGTCGGCCGGGCCACGTGACCTGGTCCGCGCGGCCGTCCCGTCCAGATTCGGTCGGCGGTTAACAATGGCATCGGGCACAATAGAGCGCCCGCCGCGCGGGTATAGGGATCAGTAGCGGTATTTCTGCCCATTTCGGAACGAACCAAAGACAGCAATTGCGATGAGTACTCGTGGAATTTCCATTACCGACGCGAGTGATCCTCGTGGTGTGGCATGCCTGAATCCATCAGCTGCATGATACAGGTGAAAATACCCATTGCGAGTGGAGTAGAATGCAAATTCGCCGGCGCGCCGCTCCCAGGCCGTGCACGTTGCGGCCTTCTCGGTCGTGGCTAGGCGGCCGGGTCGTGGCATCCCCGCCATTGTTTGCTGCTCATGAGTTACGTGGGCGTGACCCGGCGTGTGAAGGCGGCGCGGGGCACAAATGGAGCCGCTGCGGACCGGGCGGGTACAGAGAGACAGACAGCCAGAGACGGCCAGAGACGGCCAGAGACGGCCGGAGACGGCCGACGTCTCCATCGGCGGCGGCGCTCCATTCATTAGCGGCCGGTTTTTAGTCGGCGTGCCGTGGCGACCGGCCGCGTCCGGCGCCCGGCGGCCCGGGGTGTGGACGGCCGCCGAGCAGCACCCCGGTACCGTACGGTGATCCCGCTGGGGTCAGGGGTCAGCCGCGCGGGCCGGCAGAGAGCGCCGCCGGCCGGCCGCCGCCCGCGCCCACCCAGCGGGAATGAACTAGTTCCGCGGCTGCCCGCTGAGACACTCGGCCGTCTCTCCCTTCAGCCGGTCTGGGTCTCCGTATTTCTGTGAGCGGTCCGTGCACAGGAAGGGGAACCGAAGGCGACTGGCGCCACCGCAGACACCACACCTGCTTCTGCCCAAACGCTAATGCTGAATGGAAGACGGCTAAATCCTCATCGGGCCCGTATTCGGTCGCATCGATCTACGTTCATTGAATGCAATCGCGTTCGTGGTACACGGACACATTACAACAAAATGTTTTGGTTACATCAAGGACAAACAAACATTTCTGGAGAAAGGAAAAACAGTGGTCGAACTCTTTTCTATGGTTTAAGAGTGGCTGCGTTGAGCTCTGGAATTTGTGGCCATTACTGAGGAATCGGGCAGAGCATCTGCGTGAACGATGAACATGAAAGAAGCGGATAAAAAGCGCCACCTCATGCCAGGGAGTCCCCGCTGTCGAAGCGAGGCAGGGCTGCGCGGGCCCGGCACCACGGACGGGGTCCGCGCCGAGCACGCGACTTCAAAGGCGGTTCGGCCGCGGGGTGGATGCTCACATATGCAGTGGACAGCGAAAAGACTCCGGCAGGCATTACATAAATGTTGTCGAGTTAACGATGACAAGGTCATAACGTTTTGTTGCTCAGTGCCAGCATTGTTCGACCGAAATTCCACGCAAGCACTCACGCTTGGTTTTACTGCGACAGCCTTGATGTGGTTATGTTATAGTGATAAAAGATAGGCGAAATTGCTACATGAACGAATGATGAATTATACTCCCCTGTTAACTGTTTTATAAAAAGTACGCTACTAAGAATAGCTGAAGGACATATGACTGACGCGATTCGGATCACGTCAGGAATAAACTAGGTAATTAAGCCCGTCTGAGTTGCTCCGCAGCCATGAGCTCCAAATAAAAACGGGTTATTACAGAAGTCGCCGAACCCTTCGGCGACTCTCCGTGTCCTTGTGGTGAGGACTAATTCCAAACAATGACAGGAAGCGCGCGCTCGCACAATTTTCAGAGTGGCCGGGCTTTTGTATGTGGGCGTGACAGGATGTAATCCTCAACCGTTATAATTGTAGGTGCACTCAAAACCTACAGTCTAACTCTACACTGATGTATAAGTTAGGCATCGTTGCTCAATCAAAATGAATATTATGTATGTCAATTGGGTCCCGCGATAATAAGATCACCCTATGACGCAGGGGTCGCGGACCACAGGCGACTCACCTTTTGGAGGGCTTCCGCAGGATCCGCGCCGCCTCGTGCAGAAATCCTCGCATGTTTCTTGAGTAGGGAGACCTTAGGACCGTTTCGACATGACGTCACCGGCCCAGCTCACTGTTCGCGGACCGAGTGAGGTCACTGGGTCCTTATCCACAGTCACTGCGGTCGCTGAGTCTGGTCCGTTGAGTCACTGTGTTCACTGAGTCTGATCCGTGATCACGACAGATCAGCCGCTCACCACAATTTGCGTCCCTTGGACCGCACAGTTTCACCGAGTCCACCGGGTGGCTCGGAGTCCCGTGCTCAGTTTGAGTTCGCCACAGCTGAGTGTGCGGCTCACACACTGAGTTTTTCACCGCGGTGGAGAGCCTCGGCTCTGAGCGGAAACTCTGGCTCGCAGAGGGTGACGTGCCGACCGCACTGCAGGCCGCCTGTCGCCGACCGGCGTCCGTCCGTTGCCGCTCGGTGGCGCTGTCAGCTGTCACCTGCCAGAGCAGTGTCAGCTGTCACCTGTCGCTGCCGGTCCGGCCGTCAGGTCCGCTCGCTGCTCCCGGCGCGCCGCTCTCCGGGTCTCTCCGGGTCTCTCCGGGTCTCCGGGCACCGCTGGCTGTGGACAGAGAGGGAGAGGGGCCAGATTAGACCCTCTAACGCGGCCAGTCACGCGAGAGCGGCATTCCGCCGGCCCTGCGGCACCGTCACCGCAGGGGGACACTTCACCGGCCAGCTATTCGGACGGGCTGCACGTGCAGGATGGCCACCCCGGGGCTGGAATTACCGAGAACGCTCTGCACAAATGAGAAATGTAGGGGCGGTACTGGTGATATCAGAACAGTAGAAATATTTCAGACGACTTTTTAGGAGCGAGCCGCGCATTAATATGTGAAAAACAAAGGCAACAGGCAAGCGCTTTGCGTGACTCATTATGCAGCGTAGGTCACATAATGCATCGATATTCTCAGGCGCGGCTCACTTGAGCAATGCCCGGGTCATTTGTTTTTGTCCATCGGTAAAATGTGGCCCTGAAACCGCTCTTGAGTAACTCAGCCAGCGGCGCCACGAAAAGTTCTCAGGTAACAGAGTGCACGCACATTTAGGCGGAGCTGGATCAGTTCACAACCGGAACGCTCTAAAACGACCGATCGCAGCCGCGGGCGGCCGGATCGGACAAAATAACTGTACACCGCACCGGGCGCAAACCCGAGAAGTCCGTCTATATTAGACGCGACAGGTGCCGGGTGCGATGGAACCGCAGCTACCCGGGCAAAGTGCTCAGCGGCTCTTAGTGGTCTGAGTGGAGCATCTGCCAAATGACCTCTCCGCACTAGTTATAACCCTGTTGTTGAGAGTTGCATGTCACTTGACAACTGGCAAAGTGCACAGTGCATTCCACAGCACCTCAGCACTCGGGTTCATCTGCACCTGCCCTGGTCCGTGGTCAGCGCCGGTCCGTGGAGGGCGCTGAGGGCCCTTAGAGGGCCGGGCCGGCAGAGGCGGTGATACGCCGGCGGCGGCGCTGCAGCAGCCCGACTGCATTCCAGTCGCATGGCTGCAGCCCGGCCCGCGGCGGATCCAGCCGCTTCACCTTGAACCGCGCCGGCCGATCGCATGCCACCCTGTCACCTGGGCCGGCCGCGCCTCAGCTGCCGACGGGTCAGCACTCAGCACGCGACGCTCGGCGGAGACGGGGGCGGTATCGGTCCGGACACGGAAGGAGCGGGCCGATCGGGGGCCGAGCCGGGCCGATCGGGGAGCCACGCCGGGCCGATCAGGGGCCGAGCCGGGCCGATCGGGAGCCGGGGCCGGGCTGGGCCGCCCGCAGCAGCTCGTCAGCTCGTCCGGACCGGCCGGCGCCGCCCGTGTCAGCAGGAAAACCGTGCCGTCGGGCGCGCCCGGATCAGTGCCGCTAAATGAAATACCGGCACGTGCGTGAGCCCAAATACTTTTAAGCGCATCTATCAACATGAAATGTGGTATGCTGATGCTGACCTGGATGGTATTCCATGATCTTTTCCGCGTCAGACTCGGCTTAATGGTTTCCTGAGCCATACCTTTCACGTAAGAAAAATGGTGCTCGTAAAACGAGCCCGGTTCGTTTCCGGGCCCCCGACCGGTGCGACTCTGTTGATGAATGGGCTAGTAAACATTGGTGAGAAAAAGAATTGCATGTCATCAAATTCTGCACACTTCAGGAAAGTCAACAGAGTTCTACGGTCGATGAAAATCTGCATCCAAACACGGCAGGACGTTTCCATTACCGCCCGGGCCTTCGGAGTTAATGGTGGCAAGCAATGAACATTTCACGCGTCCAACGGCTCAATAAATCACCACAGACGCTCGTGGGTGCTAGCCCAGATCGGACAGAATCTGGCGTGGGCCCGTTTAACGCAAATGCGGTGGGTCGTTTTGGCGTGCGCACCAGTCACTGCCTGGGAACGCAGTCATCAATGGCCGCACAGATGATGGCTATCTCGCCGGTCCATCGGCATCGCTTTGTTGTATTCATCGTCGGCATTAAGCTGTCGGTATGCTCACAACAGCGCAGAAAAAGCCGGCCGCGGAAGGCGTCACGTGAGTGTTTGTCCGGAAGTCTCTCCAGTGAGCAGTGGTGGCGGTGCAGCAGTGACTGGGACGGCTCCCCGCAAGGCCGCAAAGCGCGCCCAGCCCCAGATAAACCCCGGATTGATGATAGACTGCACACCGGCAGCTCGAACTAACCGGACAGTGCACTCGCCGAGACACGCGGTCCGGCCGACAGCCGGCCGTCGGCGCACAATCTATGTCACAACAAAGAACGTCGAGCTCCACTTAACAATGGACTGGCGGCGGGATTTGCCGCATAAATTTGATCCTCATCTCCCGGCCGAAAAAGAAGTGGCGTTCAGGTGAATGAAGAGGCGATTCAAGGCGACGGTCGCCGTAAACCTGCCCGTTTTCTATGCGATCTGCTTCGCTACAGCCACCGGCAGTTTATTGGATACACATCGAATCGCGACTGTATATACCACTGCAATTCATATAGACCATCACCGTCTAGCACATTAGCAGTAGAAATGGGAGCATTTTGGCCTCCATTTTGTAACGGATCACTTCCAACGAAACGCTAAGCGGCGAATATTTTGGTGCTCCATTCCCATCCCGGGGTGTGGAATGAGCGTCAGTATTGTATCGGTGATGGATCGCCGCGAAACAAATCCGTCTCCTTCTTTCTTTCGCTGCCCCTCCGTATAATGAAGGATCCAGTCACGTAAAGGTTTCATAGGCGGAAAAATGTTCGGTGGTTTTGCCTTGCTCCTTTGAACTAGCCGATAATCTATAGTCTGAAGGGTAATCCGCATTTTTCTGTGATAAGGGAATCCCGGCTTGAGGATGGGTTAATGGGTTTCATGGTTCTCTCAGAAGCCAGATCCAGATCGCATGCGTTGTGAGAACATTGGGATAAAAGCAAAAAATTATACCTAAAAGGAATTGAAGTTGCATTGTTATATTATACAGCAAAATATACAACTGCTGAAGCCCATGATTTCATATGGCGCCTCACCCTCGTCCATTACAGGCTCGTCTCAGGTATACCCGACACTACTCGTTTCACATCCATGGCGCTGAGCTACATAGTGGGAGCAGGTGTAATTAATAACCGCGGCTCGGCGGGCGTCCTATCTTCTGCAATAATCGCGCTCGCAGCGATCGATCTCAATGGCCAGGGGCGCGCCGAGGTCGGCCGGGGGAGGGAGCCGAGCGGACCGCACGCCGCCCGTGATTGCCGCCGCTGCAGGGAGCCCCGATAAGCTGCCAACGATTCCCAGCGCTCACGACTGGCGGCCGGGGAGGCGGCGGATCCCGCCCTCCCCCGCTGCCGGGAGGGCGGCCGGCACGGGTCATGGGCGTCCGACAGCGGACGCTCTGCAGCGGACCGGACCGGCGAGACGATCAGATCTGACGGCCGACCGCCGGCGCACCGGCCGCTCCGGCGACATCTCGACGGCCGGCTGTCTCCCGTCAGACCGAGTCCATTGTCGGCGGGACGTCGCCGTCTGCCGGCCACACCAGCAGCAGCCGTCACCGGCCACCGTTGCCATGGGCTCTGGCCACGTGGCCCAGCCGCCGCTGAAGCCCGCTGAATAATCCGGCGGCGCTGGTGGGCTGCAGATGACGCCGCCGGCTGCAGACTGCATCCCGACCGGACAGCCAGACTGGCCGCCGGCGCTCCGCCTGACGAGCTCCGTCTGACCGGTCGACTGGCTAACGACCCCGACCGGGGCCGGCGGCGCCACCGACAGCTGCAGGTCACGACCCGGCCGGCCGTCCACCCGCAGCAGACGAGCATACAGTCCGCGGGACTGGCGGGGTGTGAAAGGAACAGCTCTTCGGGGATGATGGCTCATTTGGAAAAAATCAGCACTTATATGTAGGCAAGTAAAGTGATTTTTGACAAAACCCCTGTCTAGGCATTGTCAGCAGTCGCTATTGCCAGTTTCGTTCTATTTATCTCCTGCACAGACTGCTGATGCCTGGAGGGTTATGGGAGCGCCGGTGATTTTGTTTAATCTGGGACACGGTCGGATATTTGTCAGACCGGCGGTGGCGAGCATTTACATACCAACCAGAGTTAATTACCCGACAAGTACCGCTAAAAAGATGGGCCAGCGTCCGTTTCTGACACACGGAAACCCGCAGGTTCACTCTCAGGCCCCGGAGCGAGCTCAGACGCTGAATAAAGATGGACTTCCAGGCCAATATCGCCGCTTCGAATCTCCTGCAGTATCCCAAAATGTTACAGAAGCTGAAAGTCGGACAATGCCTACTTGCTGCTTTTTTTTACAAATACCATGATTAACATTTGTTTTTCTTTAAAAAGCTACTTGCTTTTGGATAAATTTAACAAACAAATGTTCTTTCGTGGGTGCAGCCAGCGACATGGCGTCGATTCGTTTGATATAAAACCTATATACCAAGTACTTGCCTCATACTGTTGTTATTCACAAGAGAAAATACTGCTAACCGTTTACGTTTCACAACCTGTTCTGTAGACAAAAAAAAAAACTAATGCTCGTCACAACCTACTCTTCCGCCGTCGGTGTGCCCAGAAGCAGAACATCCGTTACCTGATTGTCATCAGAAACGCAGATCCCAGTCGGAAAGGTGATCCATAACCGGGGATCCCATTTGCGTCGGTTGTGAGTAATCGCTTACACCGTTTTTATGAGTTTCCCAAACATTATCCATTTGCTCATATAAATGAGCTGCAGCAGTCGCCATCAGCATGTGTCGCATTGTAATTCGCCGCCAATTGAGTAATTACATGAATAATGCATCGGTAGGCCGGTAACAGGTGATTCCGAACCATCGCCCGCCATCTTGTACTCCTGAACTGGCGGTTAGCGGGAGCCCGCCTTTGAGCAGTCGGGTAGCTGCCGGCGCCCGGCAAACCTCCAGCGGCGCGTCCGCCAGCGCAAAAACCGCCCCTGACCCAGTCCGTGCGCCGGGCACCGGTGGGTAGCGGGTGCCGGGTGGCAGAAAGGCTCCGCCACGAGCCGTCTCAATCCCCGCCGCCGTGCCGCCGTGGCGGGCTCCATGACAGCCGACCTGCGGGCTGCGGCGGCACCGTGA